GGGGGGGGGGGGTCCTCATGTTTCTTTCAAACATGGTTATATCGAGAACATCAAGTATAAATGGACATTTCAAATTGAACCTTAAGCCTAGAAAAGATCGGGTTTATAGATTTACATCTTCACATTTGGAGCAGGAACTAGAAAGGGTTCTGTGTTTAATTCCATATATTGTTCACGATTATCTTGAAGTGTATGCACAATCTACTTTACAGTTTACAATGAAAGAGGCATTGAAGTTTGTTATAAACCCCCTGGACAGCAGTTACTACTGTTATAAACCCCCTGGACAGCAGTTACTACTGTTATAAACCCCCTGGACAGCAGTTACTACTGTTGGAATTTAAAGAATTTAATACTTTAAAAAGCTTGAAACAATAAAATAAAGAGATAGAGCTTGAGAATCAAAACTTTAGAATTCTAAATTTTCAGAAATGAATACATTGTACAATTCAACAATTTTGAAATCTTGCAAACCTTTAAACATAAATTATAACTGAGACTTATTATTTACCAAACAGTTGTCAAGGTTTAGACCATCAGGTTGCAAAGATATACGGATCATAAAATTTTAGTTTGTGGTAAAGACTCAATTCTTTTTATGTATTTTGGAACGAAAGATATTTAATTTGATTTAGACATGAACTGTAAATATCTAAAAAATCCACGAAATTTACAAAAAAATTGAGTTTTCCAGAAAAAGTACTAAAATTATCAATTATTCCTGACACGTTTGATCGGTAGGATAGGTTTCGTTGATCAGTGGGATAGATTAGATGATCGGTAGGATAGGTTTAGTTGATCGGTAGGATAGGTTTAGTGGATCGGTAGGATAGGTTTAGTTGATCAGTGGTATAGATTAGATGATCGGTAGGATAGGTTTAGTTGATCAGTGGGATAGATTAGATGATCGGTAGGATAGGTTTAGATGATCGGTAGGATAGGTTTAGTTGATCGGTAGGATAGGTTTAGATGATCGGTAGGATAGGTTTAGTTGATCGGTAGGATAGGTTTAGATGATCGGTAGGATAGATTAAGATGATAGGTAGGATAGGTTTAGATGATCGGTAGGATAGGTTTAGATGATCGGTAGGATAGGTTAAGATGATCGGTAGGATAGGTTTAGTGGATCGGTAGGATAGGTTTAGTTAAAATAAAAAAAATCGGTATATTGGGACACGTTTATAACATATGCCCAGTGAAAAAAGTTTATTTTCTATATGTTGAGTATTATAATAATATAATGAATGTTGCCTAATCAAGGTCTTAGACTAATAAAGTAGGAAAATATAAGAGTAGAAAGGTATGAGGAGGGTAGGATTAATATTTTGCTAAACCATCAATAATATAATATATTTAAAGTACATAGAGTGTACAGGGAATACTGGGTAAACAGGGAATACAGGGAATACAGGGAATACAGGGAATAAAGGGAATACAGGGAATGCGGGGAATACAGAGGATACAGGGAATACAGGGTAAGCCGGGAATACAGGGAATACAGGGAATACAGGGGAATACAGCGGATGGATACAAGGAATACATTTAATACAAGGAATACTATAATTACAGGGAATACAGGGAATACAGGGTATGCCGGGAATACAGGGAATACAGCGGATGGATACAAGGAATACATTGAATACAAGGAATACTATAATAACAGGGAATACAGGGAATACAGGGAATACAGGGAATGCAGGGAATACAGGGAATACAGCGGATAGATACAGGGAATACAGCGGTTGGAAACAGGGAATACACTCAAAAATAAATAAGAAAAGCAAAGTAAAAAAACAAACGAATTATTCTAAGTATATACTATACCTAGGGTGTGGCAGGTTTCCTATAGTTGTCATGGCCAAGGTTGTCCAGTAATAGCTGAGCAGGTAAACATGACCGATATCAACCTCACTAGTTCTCCTGTATACACCGTTCATATCAACCTTTATTTAATATATTTAGTAGATACACATAATCAATATCAACCTCACTAGTTCTCCTGTATACACCGTTCATATCAACCTTTATTTAATATATTTAGTAGATACACATGATCGATATCAACGTCGCTAGTTCTCCTGTATACACCGTTAATATCAACCTAATATATTTAGTAGATAAACCTGACCGATATCAACCTTTAACTTCTCCTGTGTACACTGTATATTTAAAATTTATTTTATCCAACATTCTTGGATTTTTATTTGTCTGCCAAATCACTAAAAAAAACATTGCAAAGCTATGTTTTAGGTATGAGAAGAAATCCAAGTTTGGAAATTACAGAGTTTAAACCTTACTCTCTTCGAAATTTATGTGACCCTTTATTGAAAGAGTGCAGCAGGCCCAATTCACAACGGTACCCTTGGTATGATTAATATTGAATTCATACTTGAACGCACAAAGCAGTCAAGGGTACCGTTGTGAATCAATTATGCCACTCTATCAATGAAGGGTAACTCTAAGTTTAGTGTGTACAGAGTGAATATACATAGCTGGGACTTAAAACCCTCCGAAAAAAAAACACATCTTATTATGATGAATGGTAACGAAGTTTAGAAGAACATATTTACAGTGAGATCCAGAAGACTGTGGAATAGGAAGACGACATTTTAGAAATAGTCAAGTGTATTTGATGTTTTTACAGAAAAAAATAGTTTTACTCGTAACTAACTAAATCTCTTATAAATTGAAATTGGTTTGTGTACACCGCACAATTTCTGTGTCCATCTAAAAATCGTCTTTCTTTTCCAGAGTTTTCTGGTTCTCACTGTACACCCCCTGAACAATGAGTTTGACATCATTTTCCCATAATTTTGCCAAATTCTCTAAGTTTCTAGTATTGACTGTCATTAAGACTGAAAACTTTGAAACATCTAATTTCTTGCTTGGTTAACCCTGTAGTAAAGTCTAGATCATGCTGAGTAGGGGGAGGGGGGGGGAGTACAATTCGACACTGCGTGACACCAAATTTTGTACAGGCAGCAATTGGTCCTAAAAATTGAGATAGAAGGCTGAAATTTTGTATGCAGTCTCAAATTGTGGGCATCTACGTGGATCACGAAGACAATTTGAGAACGATTGCCATCGAACTCCATTTTGATCTCCATGAATTCAGAAAATATGGGAAAATACTACTTTTTTCACTCTAATTCATTTATCTTAGGTTAATCAGACATGTTTTAAAATACTCGGATAAAAACACACCGTAAAACGAATTTATCCCTACTTTGAAATAAAAAAAGAAGATTTTAAACCGTCTAAACCCCTTTTTTTTGAAGTCTTAAAACACTCGGTAAACCGTCTTTAGATCGTTTTCAGTTTTTATCCGGATTTAACTCTGCAAATTTGTGTTTGTAGGGTAGCAACAAATGTGAAAACATGTCGGATTCACTTTAAATAATTGAATTAGAGTGAAAAAATGATATTTTCAGAATTCATGGAGGTCAAAATGGAGGTCGCTGACCTCCGATATCAAATTTTCTTTGTGATCCATAAAGATGACCACAATTTGAGGCTGCATGCAAAATTTCAGGCTTCTCTCNGAATTAATGCTGAGTGCGCATTTTTCATCAATTTAAAAAGTTTTGAAACTTAGGTAGGGAATATCATCCTGGTTGGACTTAATTCTTATCAAACCATTGTTTATTCACCTTAAAGAGACTGTAAGCTTCGTTTTAAGTGACCCTTCATGCTAAGATGGCAATATCCTTAAAACCTGAATCTGGTAAAAAAAATAGAAGATACAGTGGTTTTTCTGACCAGAAAAGTGATTATTTCTTTGAGTTTTTCCATTGCTTCTTATAATAAAAAAATGCGCAAGTCACTTTCGCAGAGAAACCGCAAATGGAATTGAACAATATAAGGAGACAAAATTATTGATATCTAATTTATACTTGATTCAATGGTACCGTTTAAATCGGGCGTTTTCATGTTTCCATGGAGGGTTATTTAAAGATACGCGCTGCACATTCTCTTTAAGGAGAATAAACAATAGTTAGTAAACAAGCCCTGCCAACAGTCTCATAAAACCAGTTCCTGAGATCGGTCCTAATCTGTCATAGTAAATTGTACGCAAACCCCAACCTTACATCTATTCACATTGGACCAGACATTCTGAACTTTTGTGAGAGAAGAGAATACTAATGGAATATTTCTTCACGGCTTAAAAGAGATAAATAGTTTGGAGACACGCCGTCCTCAAATTCCTAAAAAAATATTTCTAGTTCAAATCTAGATTTTCTAGAATTTATTCCCCGCCCCCCCCCCCCCCACAGTGAAATTTTAGGGGGTCATGGGGGGAAGGCTGATTTTTGTTACAATACTCCTCTCATAAAATACATCTGTCTTTTGTTTCATGGTAAGAACATTAAACATTAAATGAATATATACTGATAATCTTTTAATTTACAAACTTTGTATCAATTGTAGCTTGCATTGATTTATGATTTCAATTTATAATTACTTTTCCCGTTTATATATGTGTCCTTAAATGGATCCTGTAAACTCGCAATATATTCAGATGTCGTCTTTGTTGCAACGAGCTTTTTGGAAGAAATTCATATATTTTATACAAAAGCACAACAAAGCACCGGGGTTTCGGGATAATCTAAATATGTAAAAAGATTCTAACAGCCATATAAAAAAGATGTAGGGGTTCCAGCAGCACCCCAAATCCTTAATTTAGTCAGAGTATCGTGTTGTAAAATCCTATTTTGAGAATTTTCAATGAAATAGCGGGTTTTCGGTGGACATTCTTAACTTAAACAAAACATTTAATCTCTACCACCTTAACCCCATCCTCCACCCCAGTGATTAGGACTGGCTGGGGGCCGAGCACTGCAGCCAAGTTGGAGATTCCGATTAAATTTTAGGATAATCTACTTTCTAATCTGCATTGACGAAAATTTGGATCTTTTGAAGAAAAACAATTAAGAAAATATATCAATTAATTATAATCTAACGTTTTACGTATCCTCGAATCCGGTATTATCAATAAGAGGATAAGTTAAATTATTTACTAAATCTCTAAAATTAATATCTCTCCACCTGGTCCTTCACGTAATAAGTTTTTAATCAAAAGGACTGTCCTCAACGCGGTACCCTTGAATTCTTAATTTTACCAAAAATGTTGATTTTTGTGAGTTTCTCCATTGCTTCTTAAAAGCAAGAAATGTGCAAGTCCCTTTCGCAGAGAACCCGCAAATGAAAGGAAACAGTTTTAAAAAACAAAAACATGGATATCTTATTCGCACTTTAAGTTAGGATTATTTACTAAACATATTTTGATCCTTCTTTCAACCAGTCATTTGATCCTGGAATAAGTTTTTAATTTAAAAGATCTGAGCTGAAAACTTTGAATGGTGGATATCAAGATTATTGCTTAATCTCCTCTTTTTCTTGATTTCCAGATTAAATAATGCTTGTTCTCCTCTTGTAATTAATCTCCAGATTAATTAACCGTTCGGGACTAAGGATATCTCATTCTAAAGTTTAGCTCTGTCCACTTAAGTTCAAGTGATCTTATGCTTCCTAACTTTTCTTTCATAATCTCCAGACGGTGTATACTATAAAAACACTACCCTGTAAAATGCTACCCTGTAAAACGCTACCCTGTAAAACGCTACCCTGTAAAACGCTAGCCTGTAAAATGCTACCCTGCAAAACGCTACCCTGTAAAACGCTACCCTGTAAAATGCTACCATGTAAAACGCTACCCTGTAAAACGCTACCCTGTAAAACGCTACCCTGTAAAACTCTATCCAATAAAACGCTACCCTTAAAACGCTACCCTGTAAAACGCAACCCTGTAAAACGCTACCCATGTAAAAACTCTATATATGGCTCAAAAAGCAAACCTATTCAGTCAAAAATGTCCTCTCCTACAATTAATGTATCTAAAAGACTAAAAAGAAACTTAAGAATCCGAAAAAAAAAGATCCATATTTTGGAGTTATGGAAAGTATTTTTATATTGAAAACCCACAAGCAGTCTAAACTTCAAGAGAACCTTTTGAAATTAGCTAACGATACACTGAGAAAAAGAAGGTTATTGGATGACAGTGGATCTATATAAGTTTATTAAAGTTAGCTGTTGCAACAACTGTAACTTCGGTTGTTGCTTCTTATTAAAGAAAATTTATCAAAATATAGATTTATCCCCAAACAATTCCAATAGTAAGATTATTAAATTATATCTAATTCGTATAAGTCTGGGTTTATATACAACTTCAAGACGGATGAAAAAAGGCTTAGCAGAGATGATCAAAAACCGGATTTAATTTTTCGTTAACACTATACCGATAACTCCGTCTGATGGAAACTGTAGTTTAGCTTGTTCGTCTAAATCCATGTAAACCTTATCAAAATTTTGTTAAATCTGCTGTAGTTCTCAACCTTTTAGAACAAATTGAAACAGAGAGAATCTGGATAAATAAAGATGAATTTATAAATATATTACTGTTTACATGTTTTGTTTATTTTGTTTATCCCTATTTTTGAAATCTCTGCAACTGCAATAGATATAATTATTTATGATGCACAATTGTTATTTTATAATGTACACAACGAGAATTTTTAGATATAAAATGAATTTGCAAATGAATTATTCAAATCGCAACTTAATTTCTACAACATTATATATTTTAAAATGAACTTTAAATCTTAGCCAAAAACAGATGCAGTCAATAAATTTGTAGCGAATATAGCCTAGGTAGCGTTTTTTCAGGGTCGCATTTTTATAGTGTATAGCGTATTTATCATTCTGCTTTTTTATAGGGTTGTAGCGTTTTTATCGTGTAGCGTTTTTATAGGGTAGCGTTTTTATAGTGTAGCGTTTTTATAGTGTAGCGTTTTTATAGTGTAGCGTTTTTATAGTGTAGCGTTTTTATAGTGTAGCCTTTTTATCGTTTTGCAGGTTTTTTAGGGTTTTAGAGTTTTATCGTGTGATTTTTTATGGGGTAGCGTTTTTAAAGTGTAGCGTTTTTATTGTTCTGCGTTTTTATGGGGTTTTAAGAATTTTTATCGTGTAGAGTTTTTATAGTGTAGCGTTTTATAAGGTTATAGCGTTCTGCGTTTATCGTTCTGCGTTTTTTAGGGTAGCGTTTTTATAATATGATCACAGTCGAGGATATATTAAAGGGAGAGTGAACGTAATTGTAAGTAAGCTTTTATAAAGTGGAATATCAGATTCTCAAAGGCACGCTTATAACTCCGTACGAATGACGTAACATGTTTATTGAGGCTCTAGGTGTTTGAGCCAGAATATCACAGTTATCCGAGATCAAAATTGGATTGTGAATCGGGAATTCAATTGGAGTGTCTCTTCAAATTACATCTGCAATCCCTTTGAAAGACTGACTATGCAAACTATAGTCCTAGTCCCGTGCCTGTCTAATTCTGTTGCATAAAACGTGCTGGGTTAACAAGGTACTGGGTACGCTAGACGGGCCGGGTCAACAAGGTACTGGGTACGCTAGACGGGCTGGGTCAACAAGGTACTGGGGACACTAGACGGGCTGGGTCAACAAGGTACTGGGTACGCTAGACGGGCTGGGTCAACAAGGTACTGGGGACACTAGACGGGCTGGGTCAACAAGGTACTGGGGACACTAGACGGGCTGGATCAACTTGGTACAAATTACGCTAGACAGGCTGGTACGAGTAAACAATCCTTGCACTGGTTCAAATTATGCAATTTTTAAACTTATATATGTATGAACGGTTTCCTGTCTGTATACTCCACATTATTCTCCTGTTTGAGTTCTTTAAACTTTCTGCCGAACAGATCGGAGTCAGAACCGAACCCGTCCTCCTTGTGTAGTAGGTAGAAGATACAGGAGTTCCAGTGGAAGGCAACTATAATAGGAAAAATAATTAAATAAATTTAGTTTTTGCCAAAAACTAAAATTTTCCTATTTTCCTTAAATCTGTTCACTGGAACAAATAGAAAAAAGTAAAGTGTATGTAGTACATTGTAGAGCATTGACAATAAAAACAGTTGTGAACAGAATATTTTGTATTTTAATATTTATTTTGACCCTTTATACATCTATCATTGTAAATTATGTAATTGTTTAAATAGTTTTAACAATAAATTGATTTAATATGGTTATCATTTTATGTAATTCATTTACTGACAATTCATTTATCTGACTATTTCCTCCAGAACTTTTGCAAAAAAAGGATATTTAAAAAAAAAAATATAATACCATTTAGGTTTGAAAATAAAATTGACTTTAATGCAACTAATTACAGAGTTTACAGGGATACCCACAAAGAATGAGACTTTAACAACGACTTAAAACATTGGCAAATAAAGAAACAAGTTTGCAGTTTACAGAAAAGAGTATAATCCTTATAATCGCCTTAAAAGTCTTATTCTTTGTGAGTAACCCTGTAGATATTTTTCAACAAAATGATTCAGATTCTACCCTCTTTTTATTTTTAGGTGAACATTCCCCTTAATTGGCGAGAATGAGTTACCTAGTAAATAGTGAAGAAGACTGCAGAGCCTGAATAGGTTCGGATAGTTTGTATGTCGCTCAGTCTTATCCAGGAACTCCCAGAACCTGTAGATCTTTACTAACCGACATACCCGGAGCATAGACTAGAATACAATATCTTTACTAACCGACATACCCGGAGCATAGACTAGAATACAAGATCTTTACTAACCGACAAGCCTAGAGCATAGAATGCATAGAATTCAACACCTTTACTAACCGACACACCCGGAGCATAGACTAGAATACAAGATCTTTACAAACCGACATACCCAGAGCATAGACTAGAATACAATATCTTTACTAACCGACATACCCGGAGCATAGACTAGAATACAAGATCTTTACTAACCGACATACCCGGAGCATAGACTAGAATACAAGATCTTTACAAACCGACATACCCGGACGGAGCGTAGAATAAAATATCTTTATCAACCGACATACCTGGAGCATAGACTTGAATGAATACAATATCTTTATCAACCGACATACCCGGAGCATAGACTTGAATGAATACAATACCTTTACTAACCGACATACCCGGACCGAGCGTAGACTAAAATACAAGATCTTTTCTAATTGAATATATACCAGAAAACATAAAGAATGTAAGCCTGGAAATGTGAGGAGTGTATACCTGGAAATGTAAAAAAATATATATACCCGGAAATGTAAGGAATATATACCTGGAAATGTAACGAATGTATATACCTGGAAACGTAAGGAAATATACCTGGAAATGTAAGGAATATATACCTGGAAATGTAAGAAATATATTCCTGGAAATGTAAGGAATATATACCTGGAAATGTAGTGAATGTATACCTGGAAATGTAAGGAATATATACATGGAAATGTAAGGAATATATACCTGGAAATGTGAGGAGTATATACCTGGAAATGTAAGGAATGTAAACCTGGAAATGTAATGAATATATACCTGGAAATGTAAGGAAAGATAAAGGAAGTCTAGAGGAAGTAAGCACAGCATATCCACGTAGAATGTTGTTGAGTTCATATAATGAAGACGTAGCTTAGTAGAGTCTGTTTGCAGTACACCATCCTCTAGGTACGCTAAAACAAATATATTTGTTTTAATATGTTTTGTATAGGTACCTTGTCTGCGGAAAATATAGTCGTTTTTTCATCTTAAAAAGTGTTTAATTCTCAATTTCCTGCGTTGTTTCTTTTGCAAGAAGCCAGCAAGTCACTTTAACTCGAAATTGAAAATAATCAAGTTCTAAAAATAACAATAAAAATGAGAGGAAGATGAGCAGGTTTTCTCTAGATCCAAAAACCAACGCTACCGATTTACGTATTTTTTAATCCTCTTTTGGGGTTTTTTAACCTTACAAAAGTTCTTTTAAATTTGCGTTAACGGCCTATTTAAAGCAACGTCTTTGTCTAGCATTTTATAAACATGTTTTATATCCTATAAGTTCCGATGCAAAATACATCCATATTTTTCCAGTTCTAGTTTAGAACAAGTGTTAATAATGAACGGAGTGCAATCCTTCCATTGTTTGTTGTATGTTTAGACATTTTCAGAAATGTAAATATTGTGAAAATATATAAACAGGATCTATTCTTCTATTCTGTTCAGAAGCATTCTCTAGTTCTCTAGTTTTCTATACAGTAAACTCTAGGATCTAAGATCTAGGATCTAAGATCTAGGATCTAAGATCTAGGATCTAAGATCTAGGATCTAAGATCTAGGAGCAAAGATAAGGTTACTTATAAAAGTGAATGAAAGGAAAGTTTATAATAGGATTTTATCTCTTTCATGTAGTATAAAAGTAAAAAGAATAAAGGTTAGTGGATTTGGTGGATTTTCAAGAAATTGTTTAAAGTCTGTAAATTCCTTCACTACCAATAAACCAAACCAAACCGAATTACGGAACAAAGAATGACTCTTAAAAACTTTATAAAAAAATAGATTTTTTCTTCCAAAAAGTACACAGAAGTTTAAACCAAAAAATAATCTTTTTTGGTTAAGATTATAATAAATCTAAATTTTGCAACCTTTTGCAAGTTCTTTGTATTGCCAACACAGATGTTAGCAGAGTCTCAAGGGAATTCTGGATTTAGCTCAACAGTAGTAAAACTACACTCTGTAGTCTGTTGTTAGAGATGGACATCTACTAGACTGATGAGAAGGGGTCGGGTTTGTAGGAAATTTGAGCAATTAAACACTAGTTAAAACTAGGTCTAAGTAAGGTTGGGCTTTCAAAATCCCAGCTCGAAGGAGCAAAGGAGTTCTTGCCACAAACTCTGATTGTTTATTTTTGAAACCCTATGTCGTAGACCTTAGATATTTCAAACTAAGAATTCTGGTAGATTAAATAATTTAAGTCTGAAATATCAAAGGGTTAAACCATAAGTTTTAAAAAAAATAAGGGAGTTTGAAAATTTGAGTTTGTGGCAAAAACTCAATTTCTTTAGTTTTGTCTACTGCCCTCAAGATTAGCAAAGACAACAGGTGTTTGATTCACAAAGTTTCATCCATCAAATAGAATTCTTAATGATAAAAGAAACTTATATAAATCTTAAATAAGTTTTATTATTTCAATTCTCCAGACCAGTTTTTCTAATCATAACTTATAAAATATCGTTGAATTAATGCTGTTACTAGAAGTGGCACCAACCGTTTAGAACAGCAAGCTGTTGGTTAGATGAATTATAAACCTTTTGTTTTATAATAAAATAAATCCTTAATATGTAAACATTTTAGCAAAACTACTCTAGTCAGAGGCGCGCAAAATGGAAGAAATTGCAAGGAACAGAAAGAAAAGGAAGAAAATGAAAGGAACGGAAAGAAAAGAAAGAAAATGAAAGGAACGGAAAGAAAAGAAAGAAAATGAAAGGAACGGAAAGAAAAGGAAGAAAATGGAAGGAACGGAGAGAAAAGTAAGACAATGAAAGGAACTGAAAGAAAAGGGAGAAAATGAAAGAAACTGAAAGAAAAGGAAGAAAATTAAAGGAACGGAAAGAAAAGGAAGGAAATGAAAGGAACGGAAAGAAAAGGAAGAAAATTAAAGGAACGGAAAGAAAAGGAAGAAAATGGAAGGAACGGAAAGAATAGGGAGAAATTGGAAGGAGCGGAAAGAAAAGGAAGAAAATGGAAGGAACGGAAAGAAAAGGAAGAAAAAGGAAGAAAAAGGAAGAAACGGAAAGATAAGGAAGAAAATGGAAGGAAGGGAAAGAAAAGGAAGAAAAAGGAAGAAACGGAAAGAAAAGGAAGAAAATTGAAGGAACGGAAAGAAAAGGAAGAAAATGGAAGGAACGGAAAGAAAAGGAAGAAAATGAAAGGAACGGAAAGAAAAGGAAGAAAATGGACGGAATGGAAAGAAAATTAAAGAAAATAAAAGAAGGGAAAGAAAAAGAAAGAAAATTAAAGGAACAGAAAGAAAAGGAAGAAAATGGAAGGACAATGTAGGAAGAGGAAGGATAACGTAGGATAAGGGATTGATAGGGAGGAGAAGGGAGGTGTGAGGAGATTCAGGGTTTCTTGACAGTTGTGTAGAAATAAGAAAACTAATAATGTGAGCTATAAGTTTTATCTGCCATGGATTAGGAGATTTACAACCCGTCACAGTGTAGGAGAAGTTAGGAGGACTATATAGGACAGAATACAAGGATAGAAGAGGTTGGGGAAGGTTCTATTTGAACTGGTAGAAGGCTTGGTTTGGAAGAAAATTTGGATTGGACTGGTTGAAGGTTTGGTTTGGACTTGTAGAAGGTTTGGTTTGGACTGTTAGAAGGTTTGTTCTAAACTAATTGAAGGTTTGGTTTAGACTGGTAGAAGGTTTGGTTTTGAAGAAGGTTTGCTTTGGACTGGTAGAAGGTTTGGTTTGGACTGATTGAAGGTTTGGTTTGGACTGGTGGAAAGTTTGGTTTGAACTGGTTGAAGGTTTGGTTTGGACTGAAGGAAGGTTTGGTTTGGACTGAAAGAAGGTTTGGTTTGAACTGAAAGAAGGTTTGGTTTGGACTGAAAGAAGGTTTTGTTTGGACTGAAAGAAGGTTTGGTTTGGATGTGACAAGCATATTGTAATCAAGTATTTCATTATTTAGAAAATGGATTGGAATATGATCTGCATGCAACCCTAAAACCTTGACAAGTCCTGTGAATATTAATTGGATAAATGGCACTGTTTACTAAATTTTAAGGTATCGTTAATTTAAAGGGTTACATTCACAAAGGTACCATTTTTATCAAGTTAAAATTAAAGAACATCTTTTTCAATTTAAAAATATATGAATTTTGACATCTTTGCATGGAGGGTCATTTGAAGCTACGCTTACAGTCCCTTTAAACAGTTGGCAAGTTTATATTTATAACAAATTAAACCTTCTATTTTTAAACTTTCATTCTGATGCATTTTCAAAATTTCCCAAAGCCGGGAAAGTTTTCTCTTCCCAACTTTAGTTCTCTTTTAAACAAACTTTTATGATTTATAAAAGTCTAAAATATATCTAAATCTAAAACCAATGATTAAAAGTAGATTCAAAGTATGATCAATGGAGGGTCCGGGGGTTTCAGTTTTAGTAAGGTCTACTATTTCAAAAACATTTTTAGATTTAAAATCATTTTTGTTGAAATAATTTTAGTTTACACAATTTTAACAAGTTTTTTGTTTTATCTATATATATAAAACTAGGGAAAAGAATTAAGGAAAGAATGGTTGTAATGAGCTCATTAAAAGGTTTTTAATGTCCTATATAGACACCATTATATAATGAATTATATATTTGAGTCTCTTTTTTATCCAACCTTGATAAATGTACATCTTACATAAATTGATCCCCCCCTTGTTATTCTTGGTAAATTAAGGATCCAGGGAACTCTTTCATTGTGGATATCGATTTTATTAATCTGCAGATTAATTTAATCATATTCTGTAACGTTTACAAGTATTAATATACTGATGAATTTCTATTAAAAAAGGGTAATAAGTGTCTTTAAGACTTACAATTCAAATACTATGTCTGGCAAATAAAAATAAAATACTAAGATCGAGGATTAAAATTAATGAATTTGAGCTACATCGATGAACCAACTACTTCTGGTTAAAATTTGAACCACTAATTCAAAGTTAAATATTGAGGAATTGAATTTGAATCAGTGATTCAAATTTGAACCGGCGGCAGACATTTCAAAATCATTAAATTCGGTCGCGGAACTTTTGAATTCTTTTGAGGTCCGCTGGATTAAATCATTTCTTTTTATATATCGATAACGATTGGACCAATCAGAGGCCACAACACAAGTTTTCTCTCGGCCAATGAGAGGAGGCCAAAATACGAGTCAGCTGTTTTTTACGGATTAGGCAATTGATATATAAATATAACAGTTTTGTAGAAGTGTAGGACTGCAGAGTTCTCAACACCGTATATACCAGCGGAGATTTATATTTCAGTTTTTAACAAAAATGTGAAGTTAAAAACTGAAATATTTCTAAAATGTATCAATATATCCATGAGGTAAAGAAAATCGGCAATATAATCTGAAATAAAACAAGATTAAAACTGATGTAAAAAGAACCAACATAGAAATAAGTGTTAAGGGGATGGAGGGGGGGGGGGAAATGGAGTTTACAAAAGATAGAAGAAGATTTAAGGGTTTGGATGGAAGATTAACAAAAGATAGAAGAAGATTTAAGGGTTAAGATGGAGATTTCCAAAGGATAGAAGAAGATTAAAGGGTAAAAATGGAGATTTACAAAGGATAGAAGTAGATTAAAGGGTTGGGATGGAAGATTTACAAAGGATAGAAAAAGATTTAAGGGTTGGGATGAAAGATTTACAAAGGATAGAAGAAGATTGAAGGGTTGGGATGGAAGAATTACAAAGGATAGAAGAAGATAAAAGGGTTGGGATGGAAGATCTACAAAGGATAGAAGAAGATGAAAGGGTTGGGATTGAAGATTTACAAAGGAAAGAAGAAGATGAAAGGGTTGGGATGGAAGATTTACAAAGGATAGAAAAAGATTTAAGGGTTGGGAACCCAAGGTTTGAACCTAACTAATGAGAACCCAAGGTTTGAACCTACATAATGAAAACCCAAGGTTTGAACCTACCTATTTAAAACCCAAGGTTTGAACCTAACTAATGAGAACCCAAGTTTTTAACCTACATAATGAGAACCAAAGGTTTAAACCTACTTAATGAGAACCAAGGTTTGAAACTACCTAATGAGAACCCAAGGTTTGAACCTACATAATCAGAACCCAAGGTTTGAACCTACATAATCAGAACCCAAAGTTTGAACCTACCTATTGAGAACCCAAGGTTTGAACCTAACTAATGAGAACCAAGGTTTGAACCTACCTAATGAAAACCCAAGGTTTGAACCTACCAATGAGACCCCAAGGTTTGAAACTACCTAATGAGAATCCAAGGTTTGAACATACCTTATCAGAACCCAAGGTTTGAACCTACCTAATGAGAACCCAAGGTTTGAACCTACCTAATAAGAACCCAAGGTTTGAACCTACCTAATGAGAATCGAAGGTTAGAACCTACCTAATGAGAACCCAAGGTTGGAACCTACATAATGAGAACCCAAGGTTTGAACCTACCTAATGAGAACCAGACTACTACAGTATCTCCTGTTATTTCAGAGAAAGCAGTTCGAAATATTATCACCTAAACATATTTTTAATTTCAACAAAGGAACCAAATATTTGCCTGCCTCAAAAACTTTTTTTTTCATATTTAAATTTTGGCAACTTGATTGAGCACACTTTTGACAATTGAAACTTTGTAGAATATTTGATCTAACAAAATTAAGAGATTTCATCCAATGTCTACGACATTAGACTGCAAAGATGATTACAAAATTAGAGATTGAGGCCAGTTATCAATTCCATTGTACCAGTTTCTCCATTTGAAATTGAAATATATGTTAACTTTTATATCTTTTGGTTTAGATCACAGAAACAACAAAAATAATTCAGGAAAATGTGAAAAAATTGGACTATTCTTTATTGTTGATGTTTATTCAGACATAACCCAATATGCAGTGATGAAAAGCTATATATTCTGATGTTATGGCTACCCCCCCCCCATGCATAAAATTTTATTATGTTGGTGGAATATTGGAGATTATGTATTCTTCATCAATACACCCAAACTTATATAGTCTAGATACTCTACAAAATGTAAATTTATATTTTTACATATATCTAATTTTGGTTAATATTAAAAAAATACCCGGGTAGAATCTTAGAGTCTGAAACCTAGTCTTAGACGCCGGGCCGACCTCCTCAGACCCTCTGTTTTTGGAAAAAAATATCAAATTTCACCAAATATATGTAATATGAGCAAAAACCATTAAAATATTTGAGCATTCCTCTCCCCATCCCTTTCTTCAAGCACCCCTCCATATGTCCCAACCC